CGTTGCTGCTCGGGGAGATATCCCCCAGATGCCGGAAATACGGCGGGCTCACAGGGCTTCGAATGGACGAAGATGGGCGACGCGCATCGGTAGGGGCTGTCGCCGAGGAAGGGATCGTAAGATATAAGCAGCATCTCCTCGCCAACCCGGCTGTCTTTTAGGCATCGTCGGCAGGGGACCGGGATGTCTGGCGTTTTCAGCACGGCGAGGGGCGATGATCGGTCCTCTGCGTAAGGCGCGGGCATGGCGCGGTACCGGAGGGTCTCGGGGATAAGTTGCTGCTGATTGCTGTGAGCTTCGTCTCTCAAGCTAGGCATTTGATAGTTTAATTACTTACAGCCATGGCAGGCTGGGAGCTGCTCAAAGTAGTTGTGGTAGTCATTTTTCTAGATATATCTCAATGAATGTCTCTTGAATTTTCGTAGGATCTTGATTGAGTGTAACCTGTTGAGTTAGAATGTTTTTTCGACGAAGGAGAGCGACCTAGATGCTCTTATATTCCTGCCTCAAGTCCGTTGATGCCTTCCATGTCCTATTAGTTGCTATTGAAATGACCAATAAACCGTAGCTAGTGGGCCTTGCTGTGGAAGTGGCCTATGATGGGGAAATACTATGACCAGAGCCCCTGAGATTATGACTCGGATGAGATTGCTACGCGTTATTATCCCCTGACTCCTGGTTAGATTCAAACTGGGTAGGACGCATACGGAATGTGAAATGAGCTTACGATGTATGCGCCTCATCTCTCTATCTCACACTTCTCGCCTCATGTCTAATCTCCTTTCATGTACCTGATATCCGGCGTCATATTCGAATTACCGTCAAGTCACAATATGAAAGAAGACAGACAATTAACTTGCGTTTGATGACGCACTAGGTATAGGGAATCTCGTTGGGACTGTATTTTGATACATAAGTCGAGTTGTGACAGCTTGCATACGTCTCACTTCTAACAGGTCACGGCCATCGTCATAGAGAATGCCGATCCATTATTAGTCCAGTTTGCTTACTTACTAAATGCCTTATTTAACCCGGGGCCCGAAACTCACACACCGCTTCAAGATGCCAACATCCCGGTGGTATGGGTACGTCCTATCCGCTATATACGAGATCACGGGTGACTAATGACCAAGAATCATTGTTTGCGTAAGCAAGCACGCTATCGAAAGCTCGAACAGGCTATAATCGATCCAAAAGTGGCTTTCTCATGAAAGTAAACGCCAGTATTGTTCAGCTGTGACGAAGCTTAATGGTTGGCGATAACAAGGCGCTTGAATGTCAGAAAAGATGGCGGCCCCCGCATTACTCCCGCATCCGATCCGTCTTTCTCCCCTCGAAGGATTCATGCCGCGTGGATACGTGCGCCAGATATACTGCTTCCCGACCTCGAATCTTTTGGCGATTAGTACCTTATCGCGGGGGCTAGCCGGGCTAGCTCGAGATGTGCCATGTGTTCTCTCGCGAATCGTTATCGACAAATCGGGGACAGGTTCGGCTGTTGCGGTAAGCACACAATGCCATGATCCCGAGGACATCTTCTCATCGCGCGACCTCTCCGACTCCATCAACTATGCTACGCTCAAAGCCGAATACTTTCCGCCTGGGGCCTTTCTGGCCCCGGGTATAATCCCGCCAGACACGCTCCCACCGTACCCAGCTTCGCCAGCTGTGTTTCTCGCCCGCGCGTCGCTCGTCAAGGGAGGATTAATCCTGTGCGTAGCAGTGCATCACGTCGTGATCGACATCACGGGGTTCGATGTGCTGCTGAAAATCTGGGCAGCGCACTGTCGCGCCGGTTCCTCGCGAGACATAGGGTTCGATGCGAGCTGGATAGACCGGAGTCCTCTCTTTTCAGCGTCTAGTTCCCCTAAACTCGCATCGATGCCGAAACTCTTACATATCAGGAGCCCTGAAGAATCGGCGCGGCTAGCTGGTCGAGCGCGGGTATCAGGAACCGGACAGAGAGACTACCAAACCGGGATCTTTTATTTCCCGCATCAACAGCTACGAGCGCTCAAGGATGCCGTGAACACGTACATCGCGTCCCAGGAACCAGGGTCGTGGGTATCTACAAGTAACATCTTGTCATCCCTGCTATGGAGTGCAATCCTCGAAGCTGAGGGAAACCCTACTCCCCTCGGTACCGATGAGGTGGCGACTCATACCGACGAACGAATTAGCACGCTATCATTCCCCGTGCAGTTCCGCTCCATACTTAACCCGCCGCTCCCACGAGACTTCCTAGGCGCGGCGTTCCTAATGACGAGTGCGAAAGTCCTGTACAGTGACATATGTCTTATCTCCCGCCCCGGCCCCAACTCTGAAGCCGCAACCCAAGATCAAAAGGCGAAATTGGAATCCCAGGCACCAGAGATAGCAGTCAACTCGGTTGATATCCCGGCACTCGCAAGAGTTGCGCTCGCGATCAGGAAGTCTACACAAGACCTGGATGATGCAGCCGTGCGCCAGGTGTTAGCATACCTCGAGGCGCACATGAACATAAACTTGGAAGCGCCTCTTATCCTAGGGCCACCTAGGATTAATGCTGGAGGCAGCGGGACATCTGTTGTTTCGTGGGCAGATCAACACGTCTACGAATTTGACTGGGGTGATGCCATCGGTCGCTGTGATACAGTGCGGTTGCCGAAGATGGGGTATAAGAGGGACCCCATCGTGCTGCCGCGTGTGCCTAATCGTAATGGGGACAATGGCGGACTAGAGGTCGTTATGAGTTACGAGGGAAACATTATGCAGAAGCTGATAGAAGGTCGTATCATGAGACGATTTGCTATATTGCGATGCTTGTCATGATGCTCACCCCCGGTAGTTCTATAGACGAATCTATCCTCTCAAGTGCTGTTTTACACTGTTCTTATTTTTACAGGATGCAGACGCTAGCCTTTTTATGCTGCACAATAATTCCAGGTTACACTTTAGTAACATATCGCTGCGAGACCAAACTCTTCATCGCTACTCTGATGCGGTTTCTCGTCATGCCTGACTCGCGGGTGTCTCCGGTGCGGTTGTCTCCGGTCGGAAGAAATGAGAAGGGCCATACCACAAACCCTTCAAGAAATAGTTCCAGTAGACGAAAGGCTAATGTCACGTTAGCTCGAAACTGCAGGAGGGGTATTTCAGGGACTCTAATCTGCCAGTACTTACGAAAATATTCTTCTTCAGATAGTAGTACAATGCACTGGGGGTTTCTTGGCCGCCGAGGATATTAGCAAACGTCTCTTTAGGCACACCACCGTACTTGAACTCGCAGAGCATGAGTTCATTATGCCCCGTCAAAAGTGGGCAGCTCGCGTAGCCGTCGTAGCCGGCCTTGAGCTCCTTGCCGGCCATTGTAGCCAGGAGATTGTCGATCATGACAGGGACTTGCGCTGTGATAGCAGCGGCCGTCTTACTGTTCGGCAAGCTCGACGCGTCGCCTATCGAGAAGATGTTCTTATACTTGTTATGCTGCGTCGTGGATTTGTGGACATCAACCCAGCCGGCCGAATCAGCTGCAGGGAGGATAAGTATGAGCTTAGATCGATACAGCTTATTGTGCATGAAACTAAGTAAACTCACCAATCTTCGACTTGGCGACCCAGTCCCACGGCTTCTGTGGAGGGACTACGTGCAAGAAGCCGAATTCTCTCTGCACGGAGGAGTCTCCAGCTAGGTTTTTGAAAGTGGCTACTTTCTTCTCCGCGTCGATGGCGACAAGGTTGTGTTGGAACAAGCCTTCAACTTTGCGCTCTTTCCGCAGGGCTTCTAAGACTTGGGAATACTTCGGCACCGCAAACATAGCTACAATCTTGTTAGCATGCATTGCTAACATTAAAAAGGCCGTTGAAGACCCTACCAGGAGCACCAGTTGCAAAGGTGATATCGATATTATCCCGCACACCATCCCGCTGCCACTGCGAGAGGGCCATCCACATAATCTTCTGGGGTGCGCCAGCACATTTTATGATACCCGCAGGCTGAGTGAAGATCGCAGGTCCTTTCTTGAAGGCTTGGATGTTCCGCCAGACCTGTTCGACAGTCTTTTCAGAGTAAATGGACGATACTTGGCTGGCGGGGTCCTGGAGGGCTTCTTGAAGGCCCGAGATACCAGCAAAGTTGGTCTCGAGGCCAGGCGCAACAATCAAGTAGTCGTACGAGACGTCGACTCCCTCCGACGTCTTGACGGCATTGTTCTCTGGGTCAAACGTAGAAACCCGCAAGGGATAGTGCTTCACCCCGTCTGGGATTACATGAGAAAGGGGTTTCTGGATATCGTCTAATGACTTCAGGCCCGAGCCCACGAGCGTCCAACCAGGCTGTCGCACGGTTAGAATAGGTCCATTATTGTATTATAAAGGATTCTTTTTTTTGGTTTCGTTTTGTTTTGTTTTATTGGGGTAGTCGGCGGCTCACCTGGTAATGATGTGCCTGGGCGGGGTCTAGAATGGCAATGTCCTTCTTTTCAAGCCCTAGAGAACGTTGCAGCTGCGCGGCCGCAGTGACACCAGCTGTTCCAGCCCCAACGATGACCACGCGATGATGCGCCTTTGCTGGTATTGATGTCGCGTACGTTCTGGCAAACACCCTGCCAGGGGCTCGGGCCAAGAGACGTGGGGCGGCGGTAGCCATGGTTGGTTGGTGTATGGCGGGAGCAATGGCTCACAAATCACAACCAGCGTCACCTGCTCAGAATAAAACCCAATAAAATGTCTCTATATTCCAGCTATCACCAGTCCAATAAGATTCTCGACTCGGTTTTAGACTATGCGCTCAATTGACTGACCACTCTACCTCTACAGATTTTATGACACGACACTACAACCTCCGAACTAGGCTAGTCACGTGAAATCACGCCATAGACATCTGTTTCTATATTAATAATTATTCGCGGTCCCCACTCTTCCTGCTCATCCTTCATCCTTCTTGAGCATACATATAACGAAAACACATTAAGAGACGGAGAACTAACAAAAAGGAGACAAAAAGGAGACAAAACATTAATATGATTTCGCCCGGACTTGAACCGGAGACCTTCAGTGTTATATATATTTGTAGATATATGTTAGACTGACGTGATAACCAACTACACCACGAAACCACGGGAGACCATCACAATCTAGTGTCGTGATGGATTGATGCCGGTTGGCGGTTTGTCGCGCACCATATCAAACGGGATGCGCTGAAGCCGCGCCACCAAGCTTAGCGCGGACCTATTGTACTGTAAATAGCCGGGACTAGACTAAAACTGGCCTTAGCGCAAGACCGAGGTGAAAACTAGTTCTGGTGTGATTTGTGATTTGGACAACACTCTTCATCAACCATAATTCAATAACTGCACTATGGTGAAGTCTGCCTAATATCAACACTCCTGAGCAACGACTTCTCCAATTTCTAGCAGCTTACCTTTCTCTTCTTCCTTTGAATGCTTATGAGTACCCATAGTATCACAGGATAGTTCGTAATGAGTAACGGTCAGCTCAGACAGGCTTTACGCCGCCAACCGCCGAACCTGCCGCTTTACACTGTCTCAGCGGATTCTCAAATAAGGCCCTAGTCTCATCAAGACTTTATCTAGCATTCGAGAGCATGACTCTTGATAATGTTGCGATTTCTTAGCTGGAGCACGTACTAAGTAGAGTAATACTTACACCCACCAACTACTAAGGCGAGAGTGAAGTGCTCACACGATTTTTACTACAAGATTGGGCATAGCTGTACCAGTGACAAGTCGTAAGACCACTTAGGCACCGCTGGGTCGCATTCTTACTAGACCTCTAACTGCTTAGCAGCGTACATCTTTAGCATCGAAGGACTTCTTCTCAGCTATTAGGTTCCATAGTCTGCGCTCTGTCGAGCAAAGCAGCTACACGATCTAATAATCCTCAAGCTCAGCGATATATCCTCTAAACTTACGATAGCCCGGAGAATAACGACAGGAGCAACTTCGCCATAGTCATAAGTCACAGTACGGAAGGTGTCTCGGATATGAACCGCCGAAGCACTCCGGTTGTCTCGCTAGGAATGCACCAACTTATCCTACCTTGAAGGCGTCAGGGGGATTGGCATCTTAGCAGACCGCCCAGACGTAGGCGCACAGTGCCTAGTAATGCATGGGAACAGGCGACAAGTTGACCAACATATCAGTCAACACAATCAGACGGCCCCGATTCTGCGCCGCGAAGACGACAACCGCAACAGCTTGGTAGAAGTTCGAATGGCCATCAGGCCAGACGTTCGAATCTAGCCGCATAGCGCCTGTAGCTATGAAGGGCGTTAAACAGTTGAATGCCGAGTTTTTGGAGCAGAGCCAGTGATTGCCATACCGGATTGTCACAAGGGCTTATGTAGAGCTTGGAATAATATTCATTTAAGAGTAATAATCTTTTAATGCAGTCAAGGGGTCCATGTAGATCTCTGGACCCCCTTTTTGGAGGCGGGCGAATCGCAGTCCTTATGTGCGAATAGCCTCGCCCAAAGTCAGCGACCAAATCGCCGACTTCTCAAAATATCCGACTGCATTTTCGTGCTGCATTTTCGTGAAGCAAACTGTCTCAGTCTTCGGAAGAAACCAGATCATGTCTTCCGAACTGATCTGATTTCACCCGAACCTCGTATCGGTAGTTTGCCGCCTTGCATAGACTATTTACAGAATATCGGGTGTCCCAAACCCTCTTACCCATACGTGTGACACGGATGATATCCGGCCATCGCAAAGAAGTCATCCCGAGTTGCCGCCAGTGCAACAAGGGTTTGTAACCAACGACTTGGCCCCCTATTCGGCCCGGTGGGAGATCTGCAGTCTACACGTCCGAATAGACTCGCACCTAGTTGCCGACCTCGCGTCTTCGTGCTTTCTCGCTTTTATATATCTATCTCAGATGATTAGACAATACACGGGTAAGCCGGGAGCTGAACCATTGCACAGCCTTACACTCATATGGCTCTATACAGGTTCCAGTCTCTACGCATGATAGGTACGGATAGCAAACTGTACAACTGCCGGTTGTGCCACGCTCGATACCTCCAAAACGTTGCCGATGAGGAGGAATGTTAACAATTGGCTTGTAATGACTGCCGTAGTTGACATTGTCAAGTGACTATGGTTTGAAGTCGATAAGATAATAACTATCTCTAGCGTCATATTCTCTACATGTGTTGATAAGTCGTTGAAGTCGTGAAGTGAGGACCAGCAAAGTGTTCATGCAGGACCTTGGGTAAGGATGTGTCGGGAGATGCCCACTCAAGATGATCGTTAGAATTGACAGCTTTTACTCTGCCGATTTACGGGGATTGTTGCGAGGCACGAGGTTCACAGTAACGGTCCCCGTTAACGCCAACACGGCGATAACCCACTTCTTGGGAAGCATTTTAATCGGCAACCAATTATAGGGGATGCCGAGAACATGCGTCTTAGATGTGAACCATCGGCAGTATAATTCGGTGTCTATAATTGTCTTATATGCAGCAGCATGTCCCGCCCAATCGTGAGAGAGAGACCTTCTCGACATCGCATCTCGAGAGGTTCATCCTGGCAATGATCCAACGCGTGAGATTGGCTATGGCGTTTCTGGATAACATTTTCGAAAGGCTCTATAAAATATAATCTCCAAAGCCGTTGATGTCGAGATACATAAGAGGGGTAACGGTTGAGATAGTATAGTATAGATAAGCACTTAATATCAACCTCACAACCGTGGTGCTAGTATTGACGACCAAGAAAATCGGAAATCTGTTATAACAGGTTTATAGCGAATTCGAGCAAAAGGTTATCCGGTAAGATCAAGCTTTTCCATCAAGTCTTTATTAGTTTCTTTTCAGGTTGTCTTAAAGCTACCCAGGCACAAAAGAGCGCATAGGTAGTAGTACCGTTATATTTCCATATACTATCTTACCGTTCTAACTAACGCGCTGAGATATCAACAAAACCCTAGAATCAAGAACATAGACTAAATGAACAACACACTGTCGAGACTTAGACGTCGTCACGCTGCAGAGGCAGCCTCAGCACTGTATGCTAATCGCGAAACACTATTTCTTGCCTGCGCGATTAAAGGTTAGACGCTTCGAGGTTATTATACGGAATGACTGCTCATGATTACTCAACACTATCTCTTCTATCATCAAAGTCTCAATTTAAGCTTCAACTTAGCCGTGTTGTTGATTAGCTCCTATTAATGACGTCAGAGTTTCCTCCTGTAAGCATTGTACTTCTCTATCTATGAGTTGGAGTGGCCTAATAATGCTGACTTTATTCTCACTATGACTAAGGTAGTGAAGTGAAGCTTGCGATAGCAGTTATTTCTCTCATAAGCCCTTCGAAGATTCCGCTGAATTCTAAGTGCGGTAGACCGGACATGGTTCGTTTGACTGGTAGCCACAGTACCACATGCATGAAGCCCAACTCTCCCTATTCCAGTCATGAGATCTCCATCTCTCTCTCTCAACGCTGGACGAAATAGCGAAGGCGACGCTACATCACATTAGGAGTAGTGCATACATAATTCAATAAGCACCCCAGAAACACCCCACGGGGTTGGACCTGCCAATCTAGTTCTACAACATCACCAATTCCGGCCACAACAACAACCCAGCACTATACAAGATTGCAGGGGCTTAGAATTATCAAGTACCGTTATATAATATCCCCAAGTGGTATGATAACTCTTATAGTACCAGAACGCGCATTATGTAGATGTAATTGGAATTACCTAATGATAGTGCATTGGGTCCCTCATGCTGTTATCAACCAGACCCCTAGCTACGGACCTACATATGTCGGCATCTAACGTCCAATTGGCATAGGAGGGTCTATAATACTACCTACCTAAGCACTGTAGCAACGGGATGAAGTGGTATCGCCACTTTTCTTGACCGAGCCTATCACTGCGCAGTTTAGTCGTCTCGGGTTCAGGCGGTCCCGCTGTCCATGTTACAAAATGTAGGTTAGGGCTCTTGAGGTGACGGTGTACATGCGGTATAGGAGGTCCAAGGGAATAGGTACAGTTACATGACTGCCTATCTCGCTCTGTAATACTATAATGCACACGTGCTCTCGACGCAAATAGCTAACTGTATGTCTCTAAAGAATATCATGTCTTTTAATCTTCGGGTTCATTATTTACTTGAGTTATGGTATTCCCGCGGAGTTCAGTGTCCTAGGTACTGCGCCCAGCTCAGCTGAAAGGTCCAGGGCCGGTAGGCAGTAGGTGATGCATAGGCCAAGTTTCCAGCGCTGCAATACGAATATAACTTAAAATTCCGAACGCTATATTACAAGGGTTGTAAAATAAAGCCCAATGATAGACGTCCGCACACCACGGATTTCGTCGATTCGCGCCTTCGCGTCTTCACGCCATGACGCCGTCACCATCCGAGGTGTGATATGATGACCACCCGACCCTCCGATTCCCCGCCCGTTCAGTGTCCGGAATTGGGGCCAGATGAAACGTCAACGTTGAGAGCAGCTATAGGCGATCGATCCCGTGAATATGCACGGGAAGGGGGCCTACACACGTTCCCCAACGGACGCGGACGTTCAGCTACGCCCGTCTCCATCGTTGGATGATCGGCATCGTCGTCATACAACGAGGTGTTTCGGTCTATCATATGTTCGCGAGGTGGTAACTTTCTACGTGGAAAATAGATATAAACTCACACTGCCGTTGTACGAGAGGATATGAACATTATCTGCATTGCGTCTCAAACACATCCGGTCTAGAATAGCTCTACCAAAATGAACGAGTCACTCCTATTCAACTTTGGTTTCACCTCGATGGAGGAGGACTGGAGCCCACGGGCTCTACTGTCTGTCCCTCACGTCCTTGGTATCATCTTGGTGCTTTCAACAGCGTATGCCTGGGCCACGTCTAATCCCAGCTTGAAGAAACTTCCTTACGTTAATCCTTCCAATTTCTTCTCCAAGGCTCAAGTCAAGGTAAGCCAGCAGTGAAAGATCGAATATCGAGTAAGTGTCTGACATGCATTGTATAGCGTGAGTACAGGGACTCGGCGAATGATATCACGGCGAAGGCCAGAAAGGAATATCCTAACCGGCCGTACCGAATGACCACCGAGTACGGAGAGGTCGTCATGCTACAG